TATTCCAGCAGCTCCCCACAGCCACAGTTAACATGGTGGGTGTCTTGCCACTTCATCATGGCCAGCCCGGGTACCCCTGGCTCTTCCCAATTTCCTCTTTCAGGTGGGTGCCATTGGCCCAGACACTGAGCTCTCAGCCAGCCCTTCTACCAGCTCTTGCAGACTCTTTGGGTTTTACAACTTACTCCAAATGCACAAGACAGGGAACATCAGCACAAATGCATTAAGGTGCGGCAAAATGACAGCATAATCAAGATCCCAGCTGGTGGTGAATAAATGCTTTGTATGTGTCTTTGGCTTATGCTAGAAACATGTATTCCTGCCCTCCTGGCCTGACTTTTTCTTGGAAGGACAGGAGGCCTTGCAGGGCCTGCTAGATCACTGCAGTGATTAATGAAGGAAATCTGCTGAACCAAGAGTGCTCAAGTGGTGTCTACCAACTGGCCAATTGGTTTGCTGTGTCTGTGGAATGGTTGGTCCCAGATTAAATAACTGCCTTACCACTGGCATGGCAGGGGGCCTGCAAAGGGAGAAGGGCTGGAATGAAAGCTAAGGGATACCTTTGGGAAAACTGTGCTAAGATTGTTTGGGAAGAGGGAGGCCCCTGCATCTTTGTCCATCCCTTGCTAATTTATGCACATGTCCTACTACAATAAGAAATTATCCTAAGATGGGGGTTTTCATTTTGTCAGGAGCTGGACCTGTGCTGTGCCATCGCAGCTACACCAGCCTGGTAAGTCACTGTGTTCAGCCCCTGGTGGACCTGGTACTTGCTGTGGCACTGGCAGAAGGCACACCCATTTGTGGCTGACCTGTGGCTGCTTCATACCCTGCACACACTTGTAGGGGCTCCCTGGGCTCAGGTCCCCTGGGCGGCTCCTTTGCCTGTTAACAACAGGACAGAACAGTAAAGCCTGTGCCCACAGCTCGGCTCAGCATCCAGCAACCAAACACTGTCTCTCTTACAAAGACCATTTCTTTGGGAGTATGGAAGTAATAACTGTGCCTCAGAGGGCAGGTCTAGGAGGATGCAAAGCCATCTGCTTTGTAAGACAACTCACTGCCCAAACACAATCGGTGTGCTTGGTTCTTTGGCTTCTTCTCAAAACACTTCCAGGTTCCTTTTCCAATCTCTGCAAAACAGAGACCAATTTTTTCTGCACAGCCTATTTATACCCCACGGTCTCTGTGGTCTTTTAATTCCTACTAGAGACTGGAGGCTCCTCCTTGAAGTGAAAAGTCAGAGCAGGCAAGAAGTGAAGGAGAGCCAGGGATAGGAGCAGGGGTGCTGCTGGCACAACTCACCTGCCTGGCTTCAGCAGATCTGTGTGGGCCTGGAGAGGACAGAGCACAGGAAAAACACAAAATCCAGCACAAGGTATCTGTAAAGTGGTTTTGATATTGAGGCGATGGTGGCAGGGAGATGTGTGAAGAGGAATTGCCAGGAGGGTACAAAACCTGGTTAAGTTCTTCATCTAACACCTCTGAAGCGGCCAGAAGAGAGTGAGCCGAAGGCATCAGCAGGAAGTGCCTCAAGGATGCTCCTGTGAGGAAAAGCCTTGCAAGGGAAGAAGACTTGTATCAGCCCTGAGGCACAACTGACTTTACATGTGGGCTTCCAGGTTTGCATGTCAGTGCTGGACAGAGGACCTTAAATTTGGGGGATTACTTTTAGATTAACCTGTTGAAGAGTTTGTGGTCCTTGTTGGGAAGTGGGAACTGCCAAAGTAGAACCAATACAGACAAACAGCAGGGAGAGGAGTGAGAGCTGCCTTTTTTCTCACAGGCTAAAATTTACACATAAGATCAAGAAAAATCTTAAAATATGCTGCAACTGCAAACATAATTGGCTTCAACAGTGAGAGTGCAAAAGACTTGTAAGTCACAATCAAGAAGTTAGGACCTCAGTGTTTCTTTATTTCCATGGAGACATGGGAGACCTGCACAGGCATGGCTGGGAGACGCTGCTGGGTGGTAGTGCTCTGATGGTAGCCTATACTCAGAGAGACCAGAGGTAACCAGTGAAGTTTTAATATTAGGGCTTCATCAGCTACAACGCTACATCTCTGGGCCAATCCCCACATCACCTTTACAGTTACTTCCCAAAAAATGTAACATTTTTTTCCTGGTGCATAAGGCCGCTTTGTGTTTTGTCTCCCTAGAACTATCCTCCTAAAACATCTTACTACAGCTCCTAAAGCCTCATTAAACAAACCTTTGCCCTGCAAGGCTGGAAGACACAGGGAGCCCAGGGACACTGATAACCCAGTGGTGTGTTGTTCCTAGGCTCTGTGGGACAGCTGCAAGGGGTACACAGGCAGGGAACGGATGAGGGATTTGGGAGCACTGGAGCTGGAACATGTTTTCTGCCTGTCCACGGTGGGTGCTGCTGACTTTGAGGCTGGGGTATGTCAGGGTGCCTTTACAGGGACACCTACAGCCCTGCACTGCAGTGCCTGGGGGACACGGGGTTCTGTAGATGTAGCTGACCTTGTCAGAGTGCTCACACGTCTGCTGTGGCCAAGGAGGGCTGCCAGGAGCTAGTGGTATAAAAAAGCTACAACTGGGACCACACAGAGGAGGGACAGGCAGACAGTGGTTGGTCCCCTTGAGAGGAAACACGGGCATTGGACACAAGCCCTGAAGCCAGGACACCCTGTCTCTCCCTCAGAGCAGTCCCCCACCCTGATCCTCATACTTCTGTTGGGTGTGATGTCCTGCTGGAAGTCCCTGTCACCCTGGGATGAGGAGGATCTTAGGACTCTCCCCGCTGGGAGGGATAGGGAAAGGAGGTAGCATTTCCTTGAGTATGTGATGCCTGCAGCAATCACAGAAACTTCATGAGCTACGGCTCATTAGGTTCCTGATACCTCCACAGAGCTGGAGGGAGCCCTGACAGCTGGAGGTGCAGCTCCCAAACCTCTTGTAAGTGATGTTTCCCCTTGCTCCTGCCCTGCCCCAACTATTCTGCTCATCATGGCTGCAGTGGGACAGCCACATCCCTCCCAGCACCCACATTCTTGCTATTCAACACCCTATGCCACGGGAGGAGCAGGGGACAAGGCCACACACAGCACCCAGGCGGCTCAGGTGATGGAGGGAGGGAAGCAACACAGGGGTCTGTACAAGGCAGGTGCCTGCCCCTGCCATGTCTGATGGGCAGAGCTGCCTGGAATATTTCAGTGCCTGGCAGTGGCCTAAGAGGTGACTCCAGACACCAAGAACTGCTTGGAAAAGCCACTGTGTGTTAGTGTGTTTGAATTTGTTTTAATCCTAATAATGAGTCTTGATAAACTTATTTTTATTAATTAACATACTTGATTTATGTAACTTCCTTTTTCAAACATGTAATACTATTGGAGTATTAAAGACAATACAGAAACCATCACATACATCCTAGAGTGCACATGGTTCTCCTTGGCCTCAGAGCAAAACCAGGCAGGCAGAAATGACACACAGTGAAAGGGAAAGCTGTGTGAACCAGGCCACCACATGGTCCACACAGACTTTGAGTGATATGGGAAGGGGAGCAGCAAGTTCTCCTTATCTATGAGGTAGTGAAGGAGGAACTTCATGGGCTATTTTTGAGGCAAAGCCTATGTAGGCTGTGCTCCAGGATACTGTGGATGCCTGGAAATGGGATCCAAAAAGGATCCAGTAAAGTCCTGAATGATATGCCCAGCTGCACCATTACAACTTACACAGTCCATCCCTGCTACATGGTGGCAGTATGCAGGTTCACATTACCTCAACATCACCTCCAGCTTTCCCTGACAGGGATCTGCCCTGTCCCCATGTCCTTGTGCCAGCCTCAGGCAACAGCAGCATTATGGCTTAGAGAGTCATAATGTAACCCCCGTCACAGGCAGCCCTGTCAGATGTGGGAAGGGGCCACCTTGGGCCCCAGTTCTTGCTATGTTGGGCTTCACCCTCTGTTCCTCAGAGCAGGACAAACCACAGGTCCCATAATTTAAGGGTAACCTTGAAATCTTTGCAGATCTTGCCCTCTGGTCTTTTTTTTTTTAAGCTTTCAAGAATGACCCTTGATTTGTTTTAACCCAGTGTCAGGAGTGCCCCACAAATATGCAAGTGCCAACTCACCCCTAGGGTTTTCAGGTATATGCACTACTCCAGGATATGGCTTGCACAGATCAGCATGGGATGCATTTGGCAGACAGCCCCAGACCCACTGCAGCAGGGGCGGAAATGGGGACAGGGAGAGCCTCAGGAGAACTGCCTAAAGCATGGAAAACCAGGAGCTGTGGCTTCCCTGTAGACTTGGGCAGAGAGCTGGCTGAGTGGGGAACACAGGAAACAGTCCCCACAGTCACCTTGATGAGGGCCACCAGCTCCTTATACCCTAAGGGTATTCCCAGTAAGGAAAGGAGGCCCCAGGCCAGCCTGTCCCCATGTCAGGTAAATGACCCATGGTGGGGTATTTCCTGAGTGGGCAGCCTGGCCCCCAGTGCCCTAAACTTTGCATCAGCCCTGCCAGGGAGGACAGGACGCTGAGCCAGGCACTGGGACTGGGGTGAGAACAGGATGGGCACAGTGAATAGGGAGAGGTACCAGTCCCACACTGTGGTGTGGAGGGGAAGGGCAGCTCACCCAAGGGTCTCCCAGTACCCAGCTGGGAGAATTCCAGCACATGGATAGCCCCCAGGCCAGGGAGCAACCTGCTGGTTGCCTGTCTCCAGCATCACACCAAAGGCAGTCCCCTTGATGCGGCAGGATTGGTGATGGGGACCAGCCCTGGGTCACTGCCCTACTCCAGCCTGAGTGGGTGCCCATGGGGAAGTTCCCGGTGCTTGTTGGAAAGCAGACAGGAGCTGCCAGCTCCCATGTCTGATCAGCTTTTATTGAGCAGGGCAAAGCTGAGATGTAGCTGTGAATACATGAGGAGCCCAGTTCCCTTCTGTTCCCAAGCAGAACAACTTCCCAGGCAAGATCCCTGGCACCTGCCCGGGATGCCCCATGCCAAAACTGAGATGGATGCAGTCCTACAGCCTTGCCTGTCCCAGATTTCCTTCCTCCCCAGCTGCAGAGTGCTGGCAGGACATGGAAGTTTTGCATCCCTGTGAGCCATCTCCACTCACTGCCATATCATGCTGTCCTCCCCAGCCAGTTCCAGCAGCACTTGCACCAGCTTGGCTCCTCATTGTCCTAGAATGTCCTCAAACACCAACACACTGCTTGAGCTCCTCATCTTCAGCCCCAGGCTTGGTCACGAGTCCTTTTTTTCTTGCTGCCAATGGGGCAGATGGGGCAAGGGAGTCCTTGGTGCCAGGCTGTGTTCCCACCAGGGCCAACCAAGAGTAAGTCAGCTCTTTGTGCTGGAGTCCTGCTCCCCGCTGCAGCTTGGAGGGACATGACTCCACAAGTCCCCCCTATGCTGGGGACAAAAGCAGCTGGCTCAAACCCAGGTGGTGGGAGCAAGGCTGGGGGCAGGCAGAGGCTACCTGCGTGGTGTGCCACACCTGCAAAGAGAGCACGGCACAGGGTGAGCACTGCCAGCACCAGGCTCACCTGCTCTACCCTGGATCCCCTTCTTTGTGCCTGGCCCCTGTGACACAGACCTGCAGGGGTGGGGCCTGCAGGCAGCCTCTTTGTGGGGAGGAGTGAGGGTGGAGGGACTGCCACTGGCTGAGCCCCCAACACCAGACTTCAGACAAAAGGGGGAAATGCTAGAGCAAACTGCTGTCATACCTCAAAAGTGCTCACAGCGAGTCCAGCCTGCGCTGTTACACCAAGGAGTTTGAGAAAGTGAAACAGAGGATGGAAAGAGTAGAGTAACCCAAACAACAATAAGCCAAGGACAGCAGTAAGGACACAACTGGCAGCAAGATGAGGCTGAAACTGGAAATTCATGGATCCATGAAACCCAGCATGGTCTGTGATGGCAGTAGAGTGAAACACCATCAAGTCACCCAGCCCATCCATTCCCATTCCGCCCAGCTTTCAGCTGCTGAGCCTGGAGACTACCAAGTACCTTTCAAGTCTTTGGTAGGAGGCCTGTTTCCCCACAGCCACTGTCCCCTCCTGCTTACTTCTGTGTCTGCTCTGCACAAACTCTTCACTGCTCACAGTGTCAGTAAAAATCTAAATGCTTAATGAAGACACTCATCCCAGGAAAATTAACCCAGAAGACACCACCCATACCTGCCCCTGCTCACTTACAATTCACAGTCTTTCCGTCCCTTCTTGTCTTGTCTTCTCTTACCTCGGCCCTTGGACCTCCTCCTTCAGAAGGAAAGTATCACAAGAAGGGCTGATGTGTGGGAGATGAGACCCACAATCCAGCCAGTAAAAATGCCCCGGATGTCACTTACCTTCCCAACCTCATCAGGTCCTGCCGGGGCCTGGGAAAAATGACAGAGAGAAGTGGTTATTGGACAGTGCTGCACGTTGAGCTGCAGGAGCTGGTCCTGTGACATGCACCAGTGCACAGCATAATCTACCTGATATTATTCATGTTTAAAACAGACACAATACTCTTGACCTTATCAAGCCCTCAGTCAGGAGCTGATTGCAGCAGGTAGAGAGAAGGCAGAGATAGCAAAGGGGCTGGTTGGCTTGGGTGACTACCCTGGGGATCTGACAGTGAGGCTGGGGAAGACAAATTCAGTCTTAGCTGCTCTCAGTGATGGCTTTCACATCTCCTAGTGAAACAAGGTGCAGCATTCCGAGTAACAAACATGGGGGATTTGCTGCAAAGTCTTGGTAGTGGGCTCTCAGCCATGACATACCTCCCCCATGGGGGTCACAGCCAGGACATCTGCCATGCCTACGCTAACTACAAAAGGGAGTGATGTACAGGTGTGGAAAGCGGATTAGGAAGAAGCCAAAAACTGCTGCAGAAGGCAGCCTGCACAAGTGCTTATTGCAGATCCCCTGGGAATTACCCTAGGCAGGAAAACCACAAAAGGCTTAGGAAATCCCCTGCATGGGAAATAGCTGGAAGCAGAAAGGAGGCAAGTAACACATCTGCTTCTTCCCACTCCCCCTTCTGCATCTACTGACAGACATTCCAGAGACCGTGTGAAGCTGGGTCTGCTCCAGAAGAGCTGCTCATAAAACTGCAGGGGAATACCAATCCAGGAATCCTCAGGATCTTCTTCCAGGCAAGGATCATGTCTAATGGCTGCCCAGCAGGACACTCATCACCCAGTTTTTGCAATACTAAGTCACCCTCGGATCATGATGAAGAGTGATTACCAGGACCCCCCATGCAGGCAATGCTGGAGTCCCATGGCAAGGATCAGCTGCAGGCAGCACTGAAGCTGCTCCCACAGCATAGCAGCCCACAGGCAGAAGCCCCATCCTGCCCAGGCTTTCACCATTTTTGGGACACAGCAAGCACTCCAAGGGGTTGACAAGGTGCCAGAAATCTACGGCAGGTTGGTGCTGCACAGCCATTCCAGGCCAGCACTGCATATCCAGGCCAGGTTGGCACTGCGTGTTTTAAGCTTTTATTTGTTGTCTTGGCTGTAAAACTCTGCTGTACCCCCAGGTCTGTATGGGGTAGCCTTCCTTAAATGGTAGCCCAAAACTCAGCTGTTGAGCTTTCTCTTTGGGCCACAGTCACATTCAGGCATGCCAAGCCATGGAGCTCCTTGCTGAGCCACCAACTTGGATGTGCTATCTGCCACAGAGCCACCAGCCTTGCTCCATTGCTCACAGGCAGATCCTCTGGCTAAAGGAGCACATGCCAGGCGTGCCAAGGCAGCTGCAGGGATGGGGAGCACAGCCCTGCAGACAGTGAATGGTGCCTGACCTGTCTTCACAATGGCACAAACCCCATCGTCTGCGGGGAGCAGGTGCAGAGATGTGGGGCAGCCTGCAGCTGAACAAGGGCCACAAGCAGCAGCAAACCCTAGTGCAAAGACAGCAAGAGGGGGTGCCAGCACAGCCAGGGTGCCCACAGGGCATCCCTGTTCCACACACAGAATGAGCTGGCAGGCTTGCTCTTGCTGGAACCCAGGAGTCCCTACCTGCACTCGCACTGCTTGTGCTCGGTGAACGCCATCTCCACATAGGGTGCCTCCCCGTTTGGCTTTATCTTCAGGAGCTGAAAGAAGAGCAAAGGTTACTTCTCAGGCAGTGGCAGGAGGGGGCTGGAAAGATTCCTGCACCACTGCCTTGCCACCCCAGGCTCTTGGGAAGATGCATGTCTAACCTGTTCCTCGGGACCTCCAACAACAGAGTCCACCTCCACACGTAGGCAGTACTGGCCAGGCCCAGCTGCCCCGGCAGCTCTGCTAGTGGCGGCTCTGCTAGCGCTTCCCCATGTCTTCAGGGCTTTAATTTAAGTCATGTGGTCTCAGGATTTCCCAGCCTTAGAAAAGATTTTTCAGTCTCTGCCTTTCCAGAGAATTTTCACATATTTGACCCCTTTGCACATTTCCCTTCTCTGACAGAAATATCCCCCCAGTCATGTTTTTCAGGCCAATTCCATTGCTGCTGCCTCCTCCTGGACCCCTTTCCTACAGCACTGAGTTGGAATTGACTGGAGTCAGTACCACAGTGCCTCCCCAGTCCAGGGGTACAGGATTCGCTCTGTCACATGTCACAGCCCAGCCTGAAGTTCAGGCTGGACATCCAAGGGCCTTACAGGGTACACTCATAATTGGTGGGATCCACACCAGCTCCTGCAGAAGTGTCTGACATTTCCACTTTGTACACAGCAGCAGGATCCCTCCCATAGAGGGAGACCTGTGCCTGGGGAGCTTCCTCCTGCTCACACCAGGCTTTTGATCCACCTCAGCCAAGAGCTTTTTGCCATCCTTCCTTCCAACACACTTTCAACCTCAGAGAGACCAAAATCACTGGTGATTTATTGCAGGCATTCCCTAGTCCATCATCCATGGCAAAGTAGAGCATTTTCCTGGTTCCTGCAGCATCAGCAGGTTGACCTCTGGCAGCTCTGTGCAGGGGCTGCAGTGTGAGGACAACTGCTGCCTGCTACATGGGGAAGAGTTGAACGGCTCAGGATCTCCCATCCCACATCTCACAGCTCACACAGTGGTGACTGAAAACGCAGTTGGCTCAGCCCTTCATGCTCACCATGCCGCAGTGTGGGGGCATTCATGTCAGCACCACCCCAAGCATCACCTGATAGAGGAGAGCCTCACTCCCCCCTTCGATTCGAGGGCAGTACCTACTTTGTCCCAGCAGGCAGCCACAGCTAACTGGAACACCCCCCAGCCCCACCACAGGACAGGAAAGGTCTGGAAAAAATGACAGCAAGAGCAAGACAGACCACACAGAGAGAAGTCAGGGAAGGAGGGAGTAAGGCCAGTACCACCAGGGGCGACACCTGACCTCAGGGGCAAGCTCAAAGAGCAGGCAGAGGGACCCTACTGGCTTGGCATGCATTTGAGCACTTGTAAATCCTCTCCCTCTCTAGCCACACTGCTACAATGTCTAGAGGACGCAAAGCTGCAAGTTCACCTTCCCGGCGCTTGGTGAGCAGCCCTGCACCTCTCCGGTGCAGCCCCGGCCCCGCAGCAGCAGCACGTACCTGCATGGTGACCGTGCTTGTCTCCACGGGGACGCAGCGGAGACCCTCGTCCCCACAACAGCCTCCACAGCGCTGCAGGGAGACGCAGGAGGGTCTGAAAATGTACTCCACCTCGTTAGGGAATTCGGTAATGACGTCCACCAGCTGCTCCAGAGGCCGGCAGAAACTACGATTCCAGATCTCCCGAAAGGTAAGGACTGCAAGAGACAGGGACTATAAGGAGGCGTCCGGAGAGGCAGAGCCCAGCCGGGCCGCTGCCGGGGCAGGTGCAGCAGCCTCGAGGGCGTCTGTGCTCGCAGTAAGTCCGTCACCGTACTGTGCACATCACTGTGCGGGGGCTCACACAGCCGTCCCGACAGGCTCTTTCTCCCTCTCTCCATCCCAGCTCCATCCCCTGCCCGGGCACTCTGCTCATCCCCGAGCTCCGCCGCGGAGGGGCTCCCCCGGATCTCTCCCGGCCGGACAGCCGTTCCCTGGGGCTTTCCAGGAGGGAGCGCAGAAGCGGAGCGCTCCCACCCGGCACCCCGCATGCCAGCACCGGAGGGGCGGCAGTCCAGGGACTGGGCTGTGCTCCGGCCCGCGGCGGTGCCCGGTGCCCGAGGAGGGCTGGGGGCATCACATTGCTCCGAGCCTCGGCACAGCTCCCGGCTACCTCCCCGGTTGTCACCACGGGACTCCAAAGGTAACACAGCCCCGGTAGTACCCAACGCTCCCCAGCCTTGCGCGAAGCCTTCGCTGGGTTGCTGCCCGCTCCCAGCCGGGGCACCGGCGGCCGCCCGCTACCAACTCACCGGGAGACTCCGTGCTGGCTATCCCCCGTTCCTCCGGGGCCTGCAGGGAGAGAAAGGCGAGCTCTGGAGGGGCAGCACGGGGTGACCCGCCGCCGCCCCCCGCCCAGAGCCGGGAGGAGCGGGGAGCCGCACCCTGCTCCGACCCCCCTCCCGCCCCCCGGCTCTCACCGGGGCGGGCGGTGCCCCCAGCGTCCCGGCCACCAGCAACCGCAGGAAGGCGCCGAGCAGCCGCATCGCCGCTCCCGCCGCCCCGGTACAGAGTCGGCTCCGCCACTAGCGCCCTGCCGCCCCCGGCATGCCGCCCCGACGCCGGGCCGCCGGCCCCGCCGTGCCGCCTCCGCCGCCGCCGGGCCATGGGAGCGCGCCCCGCTCTGCCGCCGTATTTCACCGCCACCGCCCCGCCGCTGCCCCGCCCCGGCCCCGCCGCGGGGCGGGAGCAGGTGCCCGGCCCCGGCGGCCGCGGGGACGGCCGGTGCTCCCGGACGCGGCAGAGCCGCCTCCTCCAGCGCCCCCGCACCGCCTCCGGCCATCACTCCATCGGGCTGTCCCGGCGCTTCATTCACCGTCCCGTGCCGGTGAATCCCGGCCGGCGGGAAACACCGGGGCTGTGTTGGGCTTCTCGGCTTGCTGTTTTCACTGCCCCATGCCCATCTACCCATTCTGTGCCCAGCTGGCTCCTGCCCCCATACAACAGCCCCTTTCCCACCCATCCTCTTCATTCCTATACTGATGCCCTGTTCCCACTCAGACTTCCCGTGACTGTCCACCCACCCCCTTCCCCCTCAAGCTGCCCTATGCCTGTTCCATCAGCTCCTGCCGTTGGACCCCTGCCAAAGGGTTTCCAGCCACCCGGCCTCAGGGACAGCATCCTGGTTCTGGTCTACAGCTCGGAAGGGAAGGGGGCGCAGCAGGTCTCAGGTCAAACCCTGCTGCCAACCCAAAGCAGCTCTGTTGGCCTTTTCTGTTCTATTTTTAAGCCCCTGAGGCCAGGGAAGCTGGAGCTGTGGGAGGTGTGATGAGATGCCAACAGGCAACACGATCCCCCGTGGGCTGCAGGTCCTAGGGAAATAACGAGCTCTGTGTCCATGCCAGGATTCACGTTTCTGTCCTCCTGGGAGAGTGGGGAGGCTGCTACAGGGTTTCCCTACCCAGCACCGTGTGAGGTCTGTCCCTGCAGCATGAGGATGCTAATGAACTGTTCCCAGCCCTGTGATCTGCTCCCATCTGTCCCCAGGGGATGCAGGACATGCCAGCTGCCTGTCCTCAGCCCCGCTGGGCCATGCAAGTGGCAGTGATTTAGGCACCAGCAGGAGCCGGGCTCAGTCAGGAGCTTCTAGGCATTGGTACCACTGAGTGTGTGACAAAGCTGCTGGAGCAAGGCCTGGCAAATTAGCATGGAGATCCTGCAGAGATAAGCACACAGAAATCCCAGCCCCACCACGGGGAGGGTGTGCTGCAGTTCATCACTCAGCAGCACAGCACCAACTCAGCAGCTGACGGGGCTGCTGCGGCAGCGTTCAGTGTCTGTTCATACTTCTTGTCTTGGCTGGGCAGCAAAGAGCAGGTAACATCCTTAACGTGTTGACTAGAGCATGCCTGTAGCCTCCCTTTGCTACCCTATGGACCCTCCTGGGCCAAGGGGACCCCGTTCCCACTTCCCCAGGGTTGGTTGTGGGATGGGGTGAAGAGAGCATTTCCTCCCACCCGAGAGCAGAGGCCGCCCTGAGCAGCAGCTGCTGCCAACTCACTGGACAGACAGAATCCTGTTATTGCAAAGACCGTGACCACATGGGGCCTCATGCCTGTCCTTGCAGGAAGGTCCCTCGGGGCCACCTCTCAGACACAAGGCCAGCCTCTGGCACTAGTGCAAAGGGCTCTCCCCCAGGAGCTGTGTGGCTGGGGAGACCAGCCCTTAATTGCTGAGTGCAGTCCTGTTCCTGGTCTGAAACTATTTCCTCAGAGGCCTTGGGCAGAGTTTACATTCCTGGGATGAGCATCCACTTTCTAGGCAGTGTGGAACACAGAGAGGAGAAGAGGAATAATATTTGGACACCGGTAACCTGTGATCAGCAACATCCTCCTGCATATGGGAGAAACATCAATCTGGCTGGGGTCACAGTTGCTTGCTTTCCCCTCTGCCATGCTCCTCCCCAGGGGGCCAAATCTGCCCTTCCCCAGCTGCAGGACAGGGCTGGAGGTCGGTGCTATAAATGCACCAGCATGTCCCTCGCGCCGCCTCCCACTCGGCTCTGGGGAGCAGAGTTACGCACTTTGGGAGCAAGGGACAGAGGAAGCTCAAGGAACCAGCCAGGGACATAAGGCAAATAGAGACATTTCCTTAAAGAGCAAATGCCTCCCCTGAAGTGAGCCCCACGCAGTGGCTGCTGCCTGAGAGCATCACCCCAGATATGCCACTGCCTGCCTGTGCCACCTCCCTGCCCTGCTCACAGAGCTGAGGAAGGAGGTGGGTGGGGAATGATGGTGTGTTCTTGCTGTGAGTGAGCCCTGGCCATCAAGTGGGGAAGGCCAGCCCTGGCATCAAGCTGCAAGCATGCCATGGCACAGCCCTGACAGGGAGCAGGGTCACCTCCATGCTTCCTGCACCTTCAGGATGAGGGGCAAGAGCAGGGCTCTGACTGCCCATAACACTGAAAGAGCCCCAAGCAAGCAGCTGCTCTTCCCTGCAGAACCCCACCCTGTTCATTGCAGGCAAGGCTGCTCTAAAGTAATCTTTTCCATAAAACAGCCCCATTTCAGCATCAGAGCTCTCTTACGGGCATCTTATACCCTGCAAAATCCCACCTTTGGCATTTCACATGGAAAGAACCCAACCAAAACTTGTCCCTGCATCATTCTTAAACTGACTGCAGCCAGGACCTCCAGCATCACCCCCGAAGCCCTCAGAGAACACCTCTGAAATCCTCAGGGCATTATTTTTGTTCTGCTGCTATTTAGGACACAGGACTCAGTCTCACCAAAGCCATAGGCTTCTACCAAGGGAAGGGCCAGTCCATCCATGACCCAGTGCCCAGCACAGCCACCCTCTTGTGTTTGACCCCAGTAGGCAAGAACCCCACCAGCAGCTTCCTATGTCCTGCATTGTGACGGGACTCCTGAGGTCAAAGCAGAATGAGGATGTAGGTCACTGGGCTCCTCACACCTGCCTGTCATCCCAGAACCCCCAGGTTTCCCCCTCACTGTTTCATTTGATTGCTTTCTCTGCTTCTGGGATCTCTTCTTAGAGAGTCTCCCAAGCTCCACTACCAGAGAGCCAGTCCATAGCTAGGCTAGCACTGAGATAAACCAGGTCAGTCGCCTGCAGTTTGTATCTCCACTGTGAGAAAGAGGATGGGAATGGTCAGGCTGGGGCATCCCCAGCTCCAGCCTCTTGGCACAGGTAACCCAGGCCTCTCTCTCAGGAGACTGCTGCTGACTTCTGAGAAATGCAGGGATCTCCAATGCCCTTGCAGGCAAGCAGAGCTGCACCAATGACCCCTGAACAGTTAGTGCTGCTCCTCAAGGAAACAGCTTGCAAACAACCTGTCTGGGCACTGGGCCCTGAAGGACTCCTCAGAGCTCTGCTGCAGCAGCTCCAACTCTGAGATGCCCTGGGCAGCACATCCCCTGTCCCTGGTGGCTCACTGTGGTGGCGTCAGTGCCTCTCCCAGCCCAGGTGTGCAGGGGGATGTGTTTGCTGAGGGGGAGGCTGACAATAGGGGGAAATGGGCCAGGCTGTGCACCCCAATGGTGGTGGCTCACAGCCCCGGCCACTGCTGCTCACGGCAGGCGGAAGCGTCCGGCCTTAGTCAGCCCCGGCTGCACGTGGCAGGAACTCTGCTGTTTGTTTTGGTTCCTGGGGAGGGGAGCTCAGCCTCCCTGGGGACCCACAACCGAACCTGCAGGCACCTGACAGTCCAGCCCCATGCCTGGAGACATCAGGGTCTGGTCCCCACGGGCCACGGGCACTGCAGGCTGGCCTAGGTCAGACATGAGTTTTGGAAGGGCAGGGGATGAGCACCAGGACTGCCGGAGAGCACTCCAGGCAGAGAACCCAGGCAAGGGGAATCCTTGGCAAGCCTGGATACTGCTTTCAGACATTAATCCCTCGTGGGGGCAGGGACGGTGCTACCAAGGAGGATGTCCCTGAGACTGCCAGACCCAAGCCCTGGGAAGCCGCGGCCCTCATCCAGCCAGCGTTCCAGGAGCAGATCAACATTGGCAGACCTAGTACCACTCAGCTTAGTGCTCAGTGGCCAGAGGCTGGGCAGCTCTATGCTGCAGGGACTGGTCAGGCCATGGGTGTTTGCAGAAAAGCACAGCCCTGGAGCAGGGTGAGGCACTGGAGAGCCACACCACAGCCCCGAGCATACGTGGGCACTTACAGGTAAGCATTCTGTCAGCAGCCCCGACAGCAAAGCACAATTACCATGCCAAAACAGCAGCCCCATGCACACCAAGCACCTGAGAGACCAGAGCAGGCAGCAGAGACACAGTAATCACAGCACAGCTCACCCTGCTCTCTCCAAGTTCCTCTACTGAAGCCCTGGGTGGGAGCTGCAGCTTCAAGTCCCAGAAAGCCTGCAGGAATTTCTCTCCAGCAGCTGTAGAGTGCTGTGCTTGGGAAAAACAAGGCTGAGAGCAGGACAGACTGGTGCAGCAGTGTGCATGACCTTCTGCCATCGGCAGACAGAACAGCCTGGGCCCGCACAGGCTGGAGGCACAGGGCATGGAAACTGTGGGAGGGGTGAGATTCTCCCTGCAGGAGCAGAGCAGCCCTCTCCTCAGGAAAGAGACGGGTTACTTTTCCACCAGAGAACCAAGCATATTCTGCACATTTATCACGTTTCATCTACCCTGGGGAAAGGGCAGTGAGCACTGAACAGAGAAGAGGCACACAGGCACAAACCGGCTGCTGCTCTGCTGCTGCTGCCCCTGCTCTCCAGCTTTCCCAGCCCAGCCGCTCGGTGGGCAGGGGCTGCCAGGCGCTTTTCTCCCCTGCCAAACTGGAACCCGATCCACACCCAGCCCAGAGCTTCTGGCTGCTTATCGTGTGGATGCAGTTCTCCTGCTTTTAGCTGTCATAATATTGACACAAAGCAAAATAATAGTGATGGCGAGACTATGCCTGGCTCTGGAAGGCAAACAGGCAAGGAGATGGGGAGTAGCAGACTCTGCTATTGTGTGGGACAGGGCAGCAGCCGGGGCTGCTTCCAAGTTCTGCTCCTCAGCATCAC